CTTTGCTCTCAAATTCCATCTTCATGCTTCCAATTCAAGAGCTTTTCTTCATCAATCTTGAGTTTCTAGAAATCTTTGATATAATTTAAGTTTCACACTCAAGAAGATATTAGAACACTCAGTCAAAAGTTTGTTATAATCAAAATAATAATGGTTTATTCCATTCAAACAATTAGGTCAACAAACTAGATTTTTGAGATTAAAGTTGTATTAAAGATTGTTTCTTAAATCTAGAAAGAAGAATAGTTTTCGTTTGTTTATTTTCTTCCTTTGTTTGATTTATGATCAAAATAAGAGTAACAGTATTTCTTTATATAACAAAGGAAGTAAAGATATGATTGACCTGCTAACTTAGGACTCTGTCCCGTTTGGTTCGATGGTTTGAATTTTATTGATTTGAACTTCTTGATTTGAACGGAAAAATTCAAACTGTAGTTTAAATTGTAGTTTGAATTGACGTTTGGATATGCAGTTAAAGTTTTAATTTGAACAGGAAATAAAATTTGAATTTATTTTTGGTAGGTGTGAAAAGCAGAAAGAGTCGGTACATTTTTACTATTCAAAAATAGTTTGAACGGTTGAACTTGAGGGGAGCTAAACTTTAAGTTGGACTGTTTACTCAGTTCAAACGGAAAATATAATTCAAATTACATGCTTACTAAATACCAGTTCAAACTGTATTCATTGTTCAAACTGAACTAAACTAATAAAACTAACAGCAGCGAGGTGTACATGTGCTCGTCGTATTCAAAGTGGGAGGGATTGAAAACGTATGACTAAGACCATATAGGATCATGTGCTCTTTTTCTCTCTACCAAGTTTTTCCTTTGGTGTACTAGTAGAGGATTTTAATTAGGTCTCTTAATTATTTGAAATTTAGAGAGTTGATCATTGGGTGATGTTTACATTCATATTCATTTTTTTCCCCTTTTCTTAGTGTTATTTCTATTTTTTATGTTTTTGTTATTTTATTTGTAATCCCATTTTTTGTTAATAATAAATTTGAGTGACGTTGTGGCGTGTGTGGAATGAGTTTACTTGTAAGTACCAACATAATAGGATGTATATATTAGAGCAGGGTAGGTGTTTTGTTTTACTGTTCTGGGTTACCAGCAAAAATAAGTTAGGCTCGTAACTCGTTTCTCCACTTTTTATAGATTATCCATGAGAGAAATTCTTTTTGCCTTTCCAAATGTCTATGCTATAAGATGTGGAAGCTCATGCTATGTTGCTGTTCAATGCTATTATAACTTTCTTGCGTTGACTTCATATCTTTACTTGATATAATTTTTTAAGTAGATATCAACCTCTATTCTGTTCTTATATTCAAGAGAAGATTAAGAAAGGGGCTCTTCCTAATACGTTCATATTACCTTCCCCCTATCTCTCTAATTAGGTGATTTTATGCCAATTTTCAGCTTCTGCTTCATCAAGTAATTTATTGTCAATGTCGAGGAACATGGAAGTTATAGAAGGAATTATCAGCAGCTTAATCTCTTGATTGGTTAGAAGGATGTGTTTTTCCTTTCAAGAAAATGGTAAACCCTTTTAAAATGTCTGCTGCATCTTGTGCTTTTAAATGTGTACTGTTAATACGTCAATATTTGTACTTGTAACTTTGTTTTTCCGGAGTTGTTTTTGTTGACGTTCTCACATACGACTCACTCGATGTTTTCTCCTTCCAGGTTTTAGTTCGAGTTATAATTGACAGGATATGATTTTCAGATTTGATTGATTTTTGGTTGTTGACATTATTTTGGGTATGATATGTTGATTGATCTGATTAAGGTTTGATTGGCAGCTGCGAATCTATTTTTGATCATTTATATCTTGTTTATTTTACCAATTTGAGTTTTACTATAGTAAAAAGCTTTTAAAAACAGTTATATCTAACTCTTTTGTTACAGTAAAAAACTTTCACATAAAGTCATATTTCAACTCAAATCAGATAACTAAACAGCCCTTTAGAAACTGTTTAAAGTCATTCATTTTGGTATGATTTGATGAATGTCAACTTTTAATGTTTTTAGAAAATTAAAAATAGATGAGATCTTTGATTTGCTGGAGAATATCCGTTTTGGGAAGTTTTTGATTTGAAGAAATTCTGGTTCGGTGAAAGTCAAATGCATTTAAAGGTTTCCTATTTTGGAGACGTCAACTTTATTAGGATATGGAAACTTGGATTTAAATAGTATGAATTTATGTGAAAGAAATCTTCTCCTGCTGCTTAAGATGGCCATATTCATGGAGCATTTATTTGAAGATTTTAAGATCGGGAAAGTTGATCTGATTGCAGAACCGTCACACTTTTGTTGCAGTAGTTGTTGCAATAGAATCTGTAACAGATTGTTGGCAATAGACTACATTGAAGATCTTTGATAATTGAATTTTTTTTTCTATATATTTGGAGTCTCAAAATGATCCCGGTAGGCCTTTGAGCCTCACAATTTCAGAGAATCATATCATTTTGTAAGCGTCATTTTTTGATATTTCTTCGGGAGAAAGGATTTGGGTTTTCGAGAGAAAACTAAGAGTGGAAGGGATCATATTTAAAGACATGCGAATGTAAGTGCGATACTAATCTCCTGTCTTTTTACTATTTTGTGTTCTATATTTATTTGTTGAAACAAATTTAACATCGAATTGGTAAAAAGTGCAAACTGGGTACCTTCAATAATTCGCAGCGATTCTTGTTTGTCATGGATTATGAAGACTTCTTGTTTTTTGGGATTAGTTTTAGTTATCTTTATTGTATTGTACTTGGTGCGTAGAACTGTAACAGTATGACAAGGTCCCAAGATTGTATGTTTTCGAGAAAATAATTATGTATTACCTGTTATTATTATTTACAATAAAAAGTATCTTTATTTGTAATTTTAGAGTCTCAAATTTTGTTTATTCAATTTATATTTACAATTTATATCTTTATTTGTAAATATATATTATTTTTAAAAAAATTAAAAATGGCAAATTTTTTACCTACACATACTAGTCTTTACTTGAGGTGTAAATTTAGGCCGCCCAGCCCAACGACCCAAAGACAAATTTTAGGTTAGGTCAGGCCGAGCTAGCCTTAAAAGAGAGATGATCGGTCTAGTCCGGCTCTAAATTTAAAAAGTTTAGGGCTAGTCCGAAATTTTATAAGGTATTTTTCAAAAAAAAAAAGCTCTTTAAAAATATGATGTTTAGGCCAGCCCTAAAGAAAGAGGGCCGGCCCAACTCGGCCCTACGCCCAAAAAATTTAGGATAGGGTCGAGCCCCTGGCTAAGAGTAGGGGGTCTCAGGCTGGCCCATTTAGCCCCGGCCCAAACTTACAACTCTAGTCTTTACCTACTCATTTTTCAAGTTGCTATGTAAGCAACATGTCATTGCCATGTCAACAATGTAACCAATCAGCAATAGCCATGTGGATTGACACATAAGTATCCTAGTCAGTACATGATTGCCACGTAAGAAATTTTGAATTGCTTTGTTAGCATCTACGTTAGCAGACACATCATCTACCATGTCAGATTTCACAACCAATTTCCTACATATTTTTAAGAGTATTACTTACACATTTTTGTGTGGGTAAAGAGTAACACTTACCTACACATAAAAAAATGTGTACGCAAATGCTTTTTTCTACGTAGTTTTACCTGCACATTTTCTAGGCTACTCGCTCACTAGGTTAACCTTTTGAGTTGAAACCCTAATTCCTTATAGTTGAGATTGAGCCCGTGATTCTAACAAATGGTATTAGAGCCCGGACCTAGATGTTGTCAAGTGCATACACGAGATGAATCCTAATGCGTCGAACAAAGGTGTCGGCCCTTAGTCGCGATGGAGAAAAATTCCATAAATGCTTGAGGTGAACCTTCCTTCCACCACGATAACACGGGGCAACAGACGCAGTGAAGACCTCGAGATTATTGTGCAAACTATGAAACACAAAGATATGTGGTAGAGAGCACAAGGTGGTGAGATCTCCATTAACGCAATGGAGGTGTGATGGAGGATTTAATAGACAAAATGTGTCATCGTTGAAAGGGGATTGTGGTACTTTGTTCGAAGGGGGATTGTTAGAGATGCGAACAAAATCCCATTTTGACAACAAATGAAAGCTAGGGAGCTAGGATGGGTTCATAAAGGAGTAGCTGCTTCATTCACTAAATTAATCTTTTGAATTAGAACCCCAATCCCTCATGGTGGAGCCCATGATTCTAACCGTATATTAGTAATCTTTAATGCCAATTTTCTCCTCTTATGATTTACACATAGAAAAAATACTAGTGACAATAACATTAGCAAAATCTATAATTTATCCTTTAAAGTTGAAATATCAATAACTGAATTTACACCCTTTTGGCGTCCCAAGTTTACACCCTCGTTGTATCGGATTTAATTGCAAAGTTACTAACAAATGGTTAAGGTATAGACTGTAGCATTTCTCATTGCTCAAAGAAAAAAAAGTCAAAGACCATTAGTTCATGGTGTATTTTTTAGCAAATAATGCTATAAGACACTGAAGATGTTGAGCACCATCTATGAATAAAAGTGAGCCTCATATGAGACTCATTGCGATCTACATTCTATTAGTGATGGTATTTAGTATTGGTGGTGCCCCAAACTTTTTCTTTTTTAGCAATTTCATATCTTCACCGCTGGAATTTGACATGTGACGTGGACTTCACAACCCAAACAAAAATAGTAACAAAACTATCATGCTAGCTTAATATGAGTTCTTTTCTTCAAATAATAAGATCACAACTAATGACAAAGAAGATATAAGGTGAGAGAGCAAGGCGAGAAAAGATCAAGTGAAACATATATACCAATTTATTAAGAAAAAAGCAGCAAAAGCTGCTCACAAACATTACTACAAGAACTGTTAAAGAAAAGGAAAAAAAAAAAGATTACTACAAGAAACTATGAAGGAGCTCGGTAGCCATGACCGGAGAACTCAGCAACAGGACTCCCCACCAGGAACCATGAAAAAAAAAAAAAAAGGGGGTGTCAAAGTCGCATCATCACTTTTATGGCATCCAAGCTTTGACTTGCTTAGCAGAAAATGCAGAAAGTCCCCCAGCAACGACACCATCTCTCGTATAAGCATTGTAATAGTTTTATAGGGTGGTCTTATAGTGTAGGTTGGTTTTGTACTGTAACATGTAGAAGGAAGGGTATAACGTGCATTTATGCTATGTAAAAATGACGTTAAAAAAGGTATAACACTAGTATGTGATAAGTTGATACTTTTGTTGTTACACCTTCCAAAATCATTGTTACATTGAACAAATAACATGATAAACTCCCCACTTCTACATGTTACATGTAAGAACAGTCCTTTATGAAGGACTGAAGCCTATGCCTATGTTCTCTGTATTTATCTACACCAAAAGGTTGGGGAAACGAACACCCAAATGTCTGCTTTCCCAGGGTAACGCTCAGTGTATTCCTTCCTGAATCTGGTGTTGCTCAGAAGCTCTCACTCCATAAAGTGTTCTCATCTTCACTGCAGCGCCGATGGACTTCCGCCATTCTCTCAACAGAACTACAAATCCCACTGCATCGCCAATCAAATGAAGCAACACACATGTTCCCTGCCTGAGCCTTCCACTCGCAATCTGCAGAATCAGATTACACCTTCAACTCTGAAAGTTACTCCGGGGAATCCAATAGTAATTCTAAGATGAAGCAAAATGACCATTGCAATGAAAACAAACGAATCGCAGTCATCTAGAAGGTGACCCAAGAAAACACAAAACTAAAGAGTTTTGAATTTACCAGGTGGAGTCCCACAACAAAGTCTCCTATCATCCACATGCTCCACGTCTAAACCAATAAACCAAGATCCAACTGAAACATCTTCATTTGCATATTTGTGCAGCACATGTCTGACATATAAAATTTCAAAAAAAAAAAAAAAAGGATAAAATAGCCATATATAAATCTCAAAAAACCAAGATAAAAGAGATCCACAGCCATCTAAAACACAAACTGAATAAGAGGTACTAGAACCAAAACCCAAGGGCTTTTGGTTGTCAGAAACTTGTAATTGCCAACTCATTCGTTTAACCAATGAGTTATGACAAAGTAGAAACTCACTGGTTTATAGATATATAAGTCGCCAACTCTTTTGAGACGGCATATAACTGTCCTGTAGCATGGCGGAAATACTTGTTCCCAGCAGTACCAAATTTCCAATACTCTGGTTCATGGTATCTAACCCCCCTATAATAGAAATATACAGTAAGAACTAAATACTACTGACAATCTGTTATGTCCTCTTAAAGCCAGTAAAGGGAGAATAGGCCACCCTACTTACTTCCGAGCAAGGACTGGACCAGATTTCATGCAACCAATATAAACCCGAGGTTTCATACGAAGCCTAGATAGAGTCACTCCAAGTGTTGCTGCGGTAAATAAAGGGAATTCAGTACCAGCAAATTCTCACAACAGAACATTGAGAACACAATTTCACCGTGCATTCGAGTCAATTTCTAATGCCAAAGATGTTTCTCATCACTGGTTGATTTCATGGGCTATATGTTTTTGTTAAAAAGAGTTTCACCCCACTGCCTTTCAGAACATCATGTACCCCTTTCCACTTCTATGATTGACCTTCTACATAATGTTTAATGAGGGGAAGAAAAAAAAAGATATTCAAGCCAGATTGTAGTGAACGTGAATGAGACTTCAGTTACCTAAATTGACATGAACATCATCATCAACTTTCACATAAAATTGTGCATCCCACAAAGCTACAGCAGTAGAAAAATATGTTTTTGTCTTGGCTGCTAATTCCATGTAACCCTCTACATGGTCCTGAATACATGAAATAAATTATATGAGGTGAAACCTTATTTGATATACACTTGTGAAACATAAGAAAAAAATAGTTCAGCGTGAAGTTAAAACATAGAAAACAAAATTAAGTATATAACAAAATTACCAGCCTTAAGAAGTCTTTGTGCATGATCTCCTCTTCTTCAACTGCTCTATCAAGAATACCCCCAGATGTTGAACTGACATTGGATGAAAGACTAACTAGTGAAAAGTATGTGAAGATCACATTGCTCATAGTTCGTATGAGTAATCATCATCTCATTAGATATACATTTGTACTGAATATTATTTGATCAGAGGATACAAAAGCTCACCTGTGACCTATAACAAAGCGTATAACTATGCCCTTTTCTTCCTCCAACTTTTTCCTTTTCTCACCTGGGAAATTATTTCAATCAGAACTCATAAATCATATCTAGATAAGCACCCAAAGTGGCATATATGTTACCTTGTGGCATCCAAGTCATACGAACTGAATCTCTTCGTTTCCGGCTACTAAATGCTGTACTAATTCCTATAACAATGAAGTATTTTCTTTTTGACGTTGATTCGACAGTCTTCGAGTTTCCAGACACAGGATTGCTACTATGTACAGACTCACGCACTGCCTTAGCAGCTTGTAACTTCATCTCCAAATCAGAAACCGTCTTGTTAAGCATTCTGCATGACATATTAGCAATAAGATTTCTACTCTGGTTGACAAGGCCATTAGAGCAGTAAAAAATTTAACTTTACAGTCTAAGAAATAGCACCAGAACTGCTTACTGCATGGCATGTTCAGTATTGAAAACTTCCTGTAGACTATCATTGGATGTATGCTTTCTAACCTTTTTGGAGATGAGCATAGAATTAGTGACGGAACATAACCAAACACACACATTGTTAAAAATGAATTCACAAGAAATATTAGTACTAATAATTGCAATTAGAAGTTTGATAAATACACTTACAACTTCTGTACTACAAGCCTCGGATTTTAATTTTAACCGTTTATTTACAGTTTCAGATGTTCTTGGAATATTTCTAGCTTCAGGCACCATCCACATCCTGATACAAAAATGATTCAAAAGGTATTAGATATCAGCATATGTTAAGCTGCAAGAATATTTTATCTAAATTCTCACAATACTGGAAGATTGTGATCAATTTATTTCACAGAGTTCATAAAAGATTTAAAATATTAAACACTATAAATAGAAGAGAAAATAAGGCAGAAAAGACAGAATTTTGAACACTGATGTTCATCCTGCACAACCCCAGTTCGTCATTACAACTTTGCCACAAATCACACAAAAGGGATAAGTAATGCCGACACTCAGATATAAAATTATGTGTTATAATATATGTTCTGTTTTATGGAAATAAATACTCATGTGAAATACAAAGAAGCACTATAACGAAAATTACAAAGAACAGCATATTCTTATTTCTTACAGACAGCTGCATTCCAGAGAAGTAGGAAACTGCAAAAATCACACACACCCAAGCGAAAAAAATATAAAAAAAAATCCATTCTTTCAATCTTTGCGCCAATAGCCTTAATCAAGATACTCTTGAATCTAGAGAGCAAATCGTGCCAAACAAAAGCAAAAATGAAAACGTGTAATTAAAAAAAAAAAAAAAAAACCTTTATTTGATAAACCATAATTATAGCTTGGATCCAAAATGTCCAGCTTGCAAAACCACAATCTCTGTATCGCATAACCTACCTAATCCTGGAAAATGTAGTGAACCCACATTGCCAAAACACATAAAATACTCAAAAACAACAACTGAGACTTTGTTATTTATCAAAAAAAAAAAAAAAAAAAGGAAAGAAAAAAGAAAGTTACCTATTGGTGAAGAACACTCCAGCATAGAAGCAGACAAAGCAGAGGAAAAGAGTCCAGTTCCTCGACAAGACATTCCTTCTAGTTCTAGCTATATCACCCGCTCCTTTGCTCTTCACCGACATTTTTTTGTTTCTTATTACTTCGTTTCCTATATTTTCGCTAACAATACAATTCCTGTTTGGGCAAAATGCAGTTTTTACTCAATAGGACAGGCAAAAGGTGTCGCACTTGCATGGAAGATTAAGACCCACTAACTGCAATTCCTTAAAGGTTAAAGCTGCTATTTAGGGAACGAAGATGTGATGGTCCTTTGGGCACGAACAGTTAGCGAGTCAAAGTCACCATCATGGGAAGGCCACGCGTAGAGCTGGCAGTGGCTTGGGCCCTTTGTGCTTTCGCCGAAGTGGCACAAGCCCAAACATTTACCTAAACCCAATAGGTGACCAAAACATCAGAAATTGTAGTAAATAACTTTCGTAACTATATTCAATAAATAATATTAAAAATTGTACTAAAATTTTTTTATTTATATAAAACAAAAAATCTTTTTAGCAGTTTTTAAAAAATTTATGTGAAAAAAATATTTTTATTAGTTGTAAAAAATTATTTACACAATAAATTATTATTTAGTTCAAACAATTTTAAAATTTATTATTCACTTTTTTTTATAGTTTTATAATTCTGTTATTTACTACATTTTCCTCTTATAGACCATTATTTTGTCATTCATTTTTTTAGGGGATGCTCTTCTTCTGTCATGTGCAAGTAAAAAATTGCAGTGCATGGTAAATTTATGAGAGTAGAGTTGAAATATAACAGTTTTTCTAATCAATCTAAGGCTACGTTTTTAGCGATTCGAGTTTTTAATTCGAGTTGATATGTAATTTTATGTGAGAATTTTTAACTGTGACAGAAAAAATTAAATTTGACATTTTATGATAGCTTTTAACTGTAGTAAAATTATAATTGAAAACTCAAATAAGTGAAATAAATGATGTCTAAGTTTCCTTGTCATTTTCTTTGTTTTATGCACGTTGTTTGTCATTTACTGTCATTTTTAATTTGTCATTTTCTAATTTGCTGCTTGCCAAGTTTTTATTTTTATTTTTTATTTTTTTTCCTTCTTCCGGCATTGTAGTTTCATAGTCGTTTCTTTCGCTTTTGTTATTGTTATTTTTGACGTTATTGGCGTTTTTTCGTGGGCGTTATTAGTTTGTTGTTGTTTTGTATGTCTTGTCATCATCGCCAATGTGTGTCATGAGTGATTTGATTGTAATTGGTATAGTTGGGAATTGGAATATTTTCATTGTTTTTGTACGGGTTTGCTTCGCGTGTTTGAATTACAATTCCATCGATTTTCCTTTTATCTCTGTCGTCAATTTAAAAACTCAAATTTTTTTGTTGTCGTTTTTCAAGATGTTGTCCTTTCACTTCCCAATATTATTTGGCTCCAACCTTAACCAACGAAACTACGGCCATAGTTTGTGCAACCCTACTAATAATAAACATAAAAGAGTGAAAAATAACGTATACAATGGTAGATGTCCTCTTACGAAGATTTTTTATTCTTGTTTTTTGGTTTGTGTTCCTTTGTTCTCTCGTGGGTTGATTTCTCTTATGCATGCAGATTACTCACATAAGGACTTCAAATGTACAAAATAAGAACGAATCAGCCAGGCCAAGGATAAAAATAAAAAAAATAATAATAATAAAAATAAAAAAAAATAATAATAAAAATAAT